ATTCCACGACCTCCGCCTGGTTTGAACCCGCGTACCTTGAGTCATGAGGTTGGAACGTTACCCCTAGACTACGGAGGCATAAGAAGTAAGATGTGCTTCGATACCTTATTTGACTGTAAGAAAGTTCTGTATTTCAATTGCTAAAATAATGCTGAGATTATTCTTAAAAATATATAATACATTCATCTCGACGTATTCAATACCAGACTTTGTTATGGATCATGTAAGATACAAAAACATATTCTTTGTTTACATTTATGTATCTGATATATAAGGCTTTAGAATGGTGTAATATACGTAACCAAGAAATATGGCCTATTTATAAATGAAAATTACTTATCAGTGAAGTAAAATTGTGTTGACTCAGATGTCTGACTGTAGTTTTCGGGAGCTGAGGGTGCCTAAGGTGGTCAAGAAATTCCCCTACTTTAACTGAAGCCTAATGTTCATTATGGTGTTCACAAGATCCTTTTCCTCAGCCAGATGAATGAAGTCCACATTTTATTTTTTTTAAGAGCCATTTTAATATTATGTACCAATCTACACCTAGATCAACTAACTGACTTTTTGATTTCATGACTAAAATTTCGTATGTATTTATCACTTCCTCATGGTTGCTACATAACCCGACCAGGTCATCATGCTTAATTTGTTCTACTTAATAATAATTGATGGAAAGAAAAATGATTAATTTTCTCATTACGCAACTTGCTTTATCCTGCTCTTATTTCCACTGTCTTGTTTTCAGTTATCTTCCTCTGCACTTTGATCTCTATCGCTTTCAGTCAATATTCCTCCCTTCGTGTCAAATATTAAGTTTCACATTCGTGTAGGTCAACGGACTTAGGCAGGAGATGGTAGGACAAAAGATTCTGAACTGAACGGTGGCAAACATTCATAGATTTTTGCTCTTTTATGAAGGGAATCATTATTTATTACTGTCATTCCCAAATACCTGAAAACTGACATATTTTGTAAGGATTTCTTTTCTATCATTATGGCCTGCAATTTAGTGAGGAGACATAAAGACACACTTAGTTTTCTCCGAATTTATTCCTAGTCCAACCTATTCACTAGTGCCTAATTTAGTTGCTTTTTTTGTTAATTATGTTATCTGTGTTTTATGCTAATAATTTAACATCATCAGCGTTTACATGAAGCTGTTGTTTGACTATATTCCAGTCCCTCCCAATTTTCTTGGAACTTTCTAATGATGTACGCCAGGAATGTCAAACTCAACTTTTACAGAGGGCCACCTCAGCCCTATAAATAATAGTCCAGGGCCGCACTTCAAAATATAAATATACGTTAGATTTTGATACAAGGAAATTTAATTCTATTTATCATTTAGGAATAATTTCAATATAATTACCTAAAGTCACATATCTTACAGTTTTAAAAAGCAAGAGAATGCCATTTTTGACAAGTATCAAACAGCTTATCAATATGTAAAAAGAGAGATTACACAAGAAATTATGTTAGAAATAGCAAAACATTGAATTTTCTGCAGCCTGCTAATTTATGTCTGCGTGAGACTTCTTGTCTTCTGGTCTGTTGGAAAATTGTCTTTACAAAAATTATTTCCACTAAAATTTTAATATTGATTTTAATATCAATTAGCTCTAAAAGTTGAGGGGGCCGCACTTTGTGGCTATGGGGGCCGCATGTTTGACACGGCTGATGTACGTGTATGCTTATATTGACATTTTTATTTTTCATTACCCGGTAGGTTAGAGCAATCTAACACTCGACTGGGATTTCTTACTACCCGATCTAACCTGGATCAAGATCTTCTTAGTCTCATTAGGACTCTCCTTCGAAATCCTTCTCTGATCGCTATCTTTGACCAAATTTTCACCTATTCCACGTTATATTCTTTTAATTGATTGCATCCTGTTGTGTGTCTCAGACATATACAATATGTAAGAACCATGCTACCGTTAACACAACAAATATTTCAGTTTTACGTTTATATCTTTATTTACTTTGACATATTTCGGTCATACATGACCATCATCAGGCAGGAATACGGATCCTTATCGGTGCAACGTGTCGTATTAAATATTAACATAAAAACTTTGCTTCAGATTAGTGTATAGTTAAAAATAGCAAATACACGATTTAGAATAAAAATAAAAGATAGAATGAAGGTGTATATATAAAATGTTGAAATATTATTATTACGACGCGTGCACCTATAAGGATCCATATCGCTATTTCAATAACTATACGTATTCCTGCCTGTTGATGGTCGTGTATGCCCGAAATATGTCAAAGTAAATAAAGATATAAACGTAAAACTGAAATATTTGTTGTGTTAACGGTAGCATGGTTCTTACATGCCTAACATCCCCTGCAACTGAAACAGCGTAGTTAAGTAATCTGATAATCAATTCTCGGATATTTCGAACTTACGTTTTTAATCAAGAGAACCTTTGACGATGAGTTACGTGTGAATAAGAACCGGAAGTGACGGAAAGGGTTTGGCTGCACCTGCTGAGATATCCGGAAATAAGAATCTGTGTTGTGGACTGAGTCCCTAGGACACGGATAATTTACCTTGGTTGAAAAGCCGCGGTCGCAGACAGTGCACTTGAATGGCCGCTCCTTGGTGTGGCTGCGATAATGGATCTCCAGTGCAGAATTACAGGCGAACGTCTTGTAACAGATGTTGCAAGTTGTGTTGCCCGGCCGTACTGCAACCACACAACCAGCGACTTACACTTTACAACACTAGTGTGACTTGTACGTTAAGTCCTTACTGAAACCTGAATTTAATAACACATATATTTCGCCTTAATCTTACTTAACTCTGCTACATTGGGCCAGATGTGTGATTAACAGTCTGTAAACCCATAACGGTTAAGTACACTTCAATTAAAATCAGAAGTAAAATGGTGATAATAAAAATACAACAAACTAGTGCTTTTAATTTCATTCATAATATTTCAAAATTTAAATACATACCAACACGCAACAAATACAGCGTGTACCAAAATGATTGGAGCGGTTTCAAGCGGCCACAACGGCTTTGGAAATACACGCAGAAGTATGTTTCCTACATGGAACGACACAGCAGGTGCTCAAGTTTTATCGCATGCGCAATCCCACTGCCTCCCCCCCCACCTCTCTCTCTGTTAGTGACGTTACAAAGATGGCGATTCCGTAGCAGAAAGCGTTCTGTGTGCTGCAGTTTCAGAAGAATGAATCAGTTCTTTCTGTCCAGCGGGCCTTCCAGCGACAGTTTCAGAGTGACCCCCCATCTACCAACAGAATTAGGCGCTGGTATCAAGAGCTTCAGACAACGGGGTGCCTATGTACAGGGAGAAGTGCAGAACGTCCGTGTGTGTCAGAAGAAATTGTGGAACGAGTCTTTTCTTCACAGTCCGAAGAAATCTCAGCTCCAGCGAGTCGTGAATTGGAGGCGCCGATAAGACTGTGTGGGGGGTGTTGCGAGAGAGAGTGGAAATGAAGCTCTATCGTCTTCACTTGGTTCAGTTTCTTCAGTCATTTTGGTACACGGTGTATAAATGAGATTGTATAGTGATCCATTATGTTGTTTAAAACACATAAACCCAGAGTCACGAAGCGTACATTCCCTAAAATAAGCGATACATTTCGATACCGTAGTATCATCTTCATACCCTCAAATATTCAAAATACACGCGAAAATGTTTGCCAATATATGGAACAATACTTGTGACACCTAATTTTGCACAATGCATTAATTGAGGTTTATTAAGTACTTATTCTATTAAACAATAAAATTTTAAACTTGGTAATACTTAAATATGCTATTTAAACAAATTAAGAATAGATCAATAGTAAGAGTGGCTTGTATGAAATTGCATATTAAATAAAATGCATGCAAATATCGCTTAAAAATTTAACAAAATTATTAATACAGTTTTATCAGTTTCTTATCTACCCATATAAAAGATTTTATATATATGCTACAAGCCGGAAGGTTGTGGGTTCAAATCCCGATGAGGTAATTGGATTTTTTTAATTTACCTAATCCTTCCAGCCGCACTGGGGTCGACTCAACCTCTAACAGAAATGAGTACCATGAATATCCTTGAAATATTCTTGAGAGTAAAGGGCGGCCGGCGCGTAGGGCTAACAACCTTACCGCCATCTATGAGCCGATTGTCTAGAAAATGTGGGAACCTGAACATCTCACAACCCTATGGGCCTCCACGGCCTATTACAAGGATACCTTTACTTTACATGTATAAATTAAACAGGAAAACGGGGTCTTAATATTTTATGGTCACTAGGTATTTGCTGTGTTACCGGCGAAGGTACTGTCTGGGTGATCCGAACATATGCCATTCAGATGGAGCCCTGGTCAGTTCCTACTATCCGAGGGGACACCACTTCATACACCGACAAACCAGAACATATTTTTTATTGCTAGTGGGGTGGGACTAAGTCCCTTGTACTGTGGCCACTTCTGGCCTATTGTACCAGCCCCAAATGAAGGGTGAGGGTGATTTTGGAGCAATTGGTGGAATGAAGATTGGCAGGGAAACCGAAGTACTCAGAGAAAACCTGTCCCAGCGCCACTTTGTCCACCACAAATCCCACTTGACCAGACCCGGGATCGAACCCGGGCTGCCGCGGTAGGAAGCCAGCGACTAACCGCTTGAGCTATGACGCAGCCAAACCAGAACGTATACAACGTGACCAATGATAGTGACCAACAGAAAAGTTTTACTTTAAGCAAAATTAATATATAGGGTAAATTATTTCCTTAACACTATAGATGTATAAAATATTTAATGTAATTGTAGAATCTTTAGTGGTGAACTTTCTTAGAGGGCTATATAAAACTATAGAGGATTTTTTAAATTAAACTGCACCAGTGACAAGGTTCAGTATTGGAATATCCTCTCCTTGGTGTCTTGTTCAATACAGGATTTAATATATATCGCTTTTTAAATTATGGAAATTTTGTTAAATTTATGTACATAATATATTTAACTACTATCACATGTAGCATTTTACTATTTAACAGGATAAACACCTGGCAGATCATAAGCGATTCATTATGCGAAAACAGGTGTTACATTAGCTCCAAATATTGGGAAATCTTTGCGCTTGAGATTTGAATATTTTAGGGCCTGGAGGTGATACTATGGTGTCGAAACATGTCACCTTATTTGTAGAATATACATTGTACGATCGCATATTTATATGTTTTATGAATAAGATCAGTGGTTATATTAGGAAAATAATTATTTCGGAATGTTAGGTGTTATTCTTTTCGAAACATGTTAAGCTTCTTGTCCTAAAAATACCGAGGAGCAGGATACAAAATACAACCATTTTGAGTTGTCTCTATGGGCAAAGAACATAGGCTATTACTTTAATAGAAGAGGGGCCTACAGTACAATTTTATGAAAACTATTAAGAGGATGATATCTGAAAGTTTGTGACAATGTTATATTAATACAATTATTGTGTTTTTTCACATTATCCATCACCTGGTGTTTTATTTAAAATAAAATATTTCGAAGACTGGATTCTCTCTCCGTCTTAGGGTAAAGCCTATTCAGTTGGGCCAAATCAATAGAGCTAGTCCCTATCTCTGGACACCAGCTGAGTAGGTTTTACATGAAGAAGGAGACAGAATCTAGTCTCCGAAACGTTATGTTTTAAATAAGAAACAGTACGATGGATAACGTCCGAAAACAAAATAATTACATCAACAAGACATTTGAACGAGAGTTGAGCCGAGTAAGTTAGAATTTAGGATAATGCATACTATTTTTTATTGCTAGTGGGGTGGGACAAAGTAAACCGAAGTACTCGGAGAAAACCTGCCCCAGCGCCACTTTGTCCACCACAAATCCCACTTGACCAGACCCGTGATCGAACCCGGGCCGCCGCGGTAGGAAACCAGCGACTAAACGCTTGAGCTATGGCGTGGCCTTAATGCAAACTAACATGAAGCTTCTTGAATTATGTTGGAACCCGGGAGATGTCGATGGACTGAATATGACAAGGATGTTGGTCACTTTGATTGCAAGTGGAATTTTGGTGAAAAACATCCACTTGTATGACCGAGGAAATGAAAGGATATCATTAAAATTTATCTTATGGATTTAGTCTGTGAGGATGAGAGGTTAGTGACCTGTCTGCGCTGGTTTAAAACATATTTTAGTGTTCCCCAAAATATGCACGCGGAAACAAACATCTCTGAATTTCTTGCATACAGACCTATAGAACACAGCTTTGATTTACAGTTCCCGTATGTTAACACTGTAAAGTGTGAAACAGAGAGACAGAATATCGAAGGACAGACAGACGGCGTGATAAGTCCTGGAAGATGCGCAGTTCTCACTGTCGAATAGTTCAAGGATACGTTCATATTTTTATTTGCGTTAGGTGTACGTTTTGTGGGCCACTTCGGATAAGGGCCGAGGAATTTTGATGTTCTGATTAATGCTAGTTTCATAGTTTGGCATCTTCTAAGACAAGGAATTTAATTTTGATGAATGTACCTCGCGAGGACTACAAGAGAAGCATAGAGTAGCAGCTTGGAAATTGAGAATCATATCAGAATTTGCTTGAGGAAAGAGAGGCGGTCGCAGGAACCTGCCGGTACGCACAGACTCCTAGCCACCTGTCCAACAACTAAAGAATATAGAGGTTCGCATATTCCTCTGACGGGAGTGTTTAGCTTGGCTATGTCACTGTACTGAATTAATAACAGATTAATCATTGAATGGCTAGAAGAACAGCTTACACTGAAGGTTTCAATCTTAAAATTTTAATCTTTGAATGTATAGGCATGTCAAGCGTTTACCCATTAACAAACCGGCGAGCTCGACGTAGCTCTACTAAGAATTTGGACACTGAAGTAGGGAATTTATTTATAAAATATTTAAAAATTAAATTCCGAGGTCGGAGAGAATTAGAAATTAGAAAAGAATGTCAATGTTTTTTTATGGAAATACGGCTAATAGCTGTTTATTCTAATAATAATAATAGCTACATTCTTTAGATGAAATTCAAAGTTATTTTATGATTAAACGAGGCGGTATATATCACCACTGTGTTGTAAAGGATCAATCAAGTTTCAGGTACAACACTGTTTACACGAACATCCACATAGTTCTGAGCCAATATCATCTACCTACTGATATTTAATTAGCAAAGAGCCCATTAAAATTAAAATTTAGATATAATTTAAAAGGTTTTATTCTTTATATTGCTGGGATAGCTCAGTCAGAAGAGAGACCGCTTGATTTCCTATAAGGGCGGGATTATTACTCTTGGACACCGCATACATATCGACTTTGGACCTTGTGAGCATCCGCGTGCACTTTCACATGGGATATAAAGCGACAGAGGCCTGAGGCTCACCGCTTTACGACCGTTCAAGTGACTGGACTGCCATGTTAGCGATTACTACTAGAAATAGGGCATAATCTGCTGTACTCAGCCTGGATTGACAGAGGCCTTGAATATATTGTACATAGAAACAATAACTAAGACTAGAATTAATTTGTAAATATATATCAATATTGACAATGGACTGACTAAGACTGATAAATGACAGACGCGACCTCTCGTCAGAGAGGGCGCCCCAAATGGACAGGAGAGCAACTTTCACAATGAAGAAAACATCTGGTTTTGAGCCCCAGCTGGTGCTCGACACCAAGACAGACTGACTGACCGTCAGTTG